TGCCGTGGCGGCGGCTGGTTGGGGTGTCCTTCGGGATGTACACGGCCGACGAGATCAGGTGAGGCTTCATGTGTGCGCATCCCGAACTCTGCGGGTGCTGCTAGGCACTACGAGTCCCAGCGTGGCCCGCGGCAGGGCACCGGCGAGCTGCGGCGGGCTGTGGCGCGCGGCATGCTGGGATTTGTGGTCCGGCTGAGCCGTGGCCCAGCCGCCGGGGATGGCGGCAGCCGAGTTTTACACAAATTCTTGCACCGCTCCGAGGGGACACACTGACAAAATTACGTGATTTCTTAGCAGAGTGGCTAGAGATGTAAAAGAAATACTTGCTGCGATATGAATGGTTTTGCTCGTATCATGAAATCAATGATACACAAATTCCCATTGCATACAAAACACTCTCAGAAAGACGTTTTCAGCAATTTGGAAGTTCACACAGATCCTAAATGCCCATGCTAGTTGTACCATTCAAGTGAGTATCGTGTCGTTGTTTACTGCCGTTGATTTTTACTCTTTCCTTTCAACTTGAGGAAACTGAGTGTGAAGCCCATAACAAACCCCCAGTACCTGGATAATGTGGGGAATCCGGCTGTAGGTGGGCTCTACGACTTGGCCCTGGGACCTCCGGACTCCAGAGAAGTGTGTGCGACTTGCATGCAGAACTTCAGCAACTGCCCCGGACACTTTGGCCATATAGAACTGCCTCTGACTGTCTACAACCCCCTGTTCTTTGATGTATGTACATTTAATTATTGCTGGTGAAAGGGGTGGTGGTGCCCAAGCTGTAGTTGTAGTAATTGAAAACAGTAAAAGTGCCAAGATCTGTTTTCTCTTTTAAGTGTTCTAACAGCAAATGTAGTAGAGAAGCTTTGTTGTGTCATGATAGTTCAATACAAGTAGAGCTTTTGAAAAATATGCTCTTTGTTGTAGCTATTGTTTGACTCAATATTGACAAGCATGTGAGGGGGTAATATTCATCCTAAAGTATGTGACTGACTGTAGGATGCTTTAATTAAGTGAACAGCACAGTAAAAATTATCATTTCCTTTAAACAACTACTGCACACGAACAGCTGTCTACTCTTCCAGTTTTTAACAAACCTGAGCTGGGATGAATTTTTGTCCTGAGGTGCTGATCTCACCATTTACAGTAGCTGCCGTTTGCACTCTCTATTAATTGAGAGTCAAAACCTCTCTTTCAAGTGACCAAAGTTACATGAGGTACCCACTTCTAGCCTTGTTCCAGCTTTAAGTCAAATAATTGTATTGACCAAGGATTAAAATCCTGCAGCAGTAAATCCCAGCCTTCAGGCCACAGGGGCTGCATGCAGCTGGAGCAAGAGAACTGTGTTAGATAATAACACAGAGCTGTGTTAAATAATAAAACCCACTGATGGTTTCCCAGACCTTGAGGATAATGTGATTGTGTGAAGGATCTTGTAGGTTTGAGACCAGAAATCGAAATTTAATTTTCATGAAATTTCATTTTACTAGTGTGGGGGTTTGGGTTCCACATTGTCCTCTACGGGGTGAGCTGTCGAGAGCTGTAGTCTCAGTGCTGTGTAAGAGCAGCCTTGGTCCCAGAGCTGCTCTAGATATCACTAGTGTTTCATGTATCTGTTGTGTAGACAGCCTGCAGAGAATTTATCTACAGATCACGCTTTGCATATGGGTTTGGTTGAAATAAATTTTTTTTCAGGCAAATTCTATATGATTAAAATTAACTGTTAGTCTAATTTCCCAATTATATTAACACTGTCTTTAAGTCTAAACAATTGTAGTTACTTGCTTACTGTGCAAGCTAGTACATCTGCCAGGATAACCTTTTCTTCCCCTTTTCTTTCCAGAAATTATACCTTCTCATCCGAGGATCTTGTTTGAATTGCCACATGCTGACATGTCCTCGAGCCGTGGTTCACTTACTGCTAAGTCAGCTGAAGGTGCTGGAGAAAGGGTTGCTTCATGCTGTCCATGACCTTGAAATCATTCTGAACAGGGCAAGTACTGTGCAATGCTCCATCCCTTTTGGGGTTCGTGGTCTCATAAATCTAAAGCTCTCTGCCAATTTCTTTTCTTCTGTTCCTTTTAGTTTATAGAGCAATGTGCAGATGCAACAGGCTCAGAAATTGAGGAAGAGTTGAATCGCCACGTTCAGGAAATGTTACAAAGCTCTCAAATAAGAGATCGGTGTTCAAATGTAA